GCAGGCAGGTAGGTAGGTATGTGGGTCGGGTAGGTGGGGGTGGGGTGGAAGTAAGGGTTGGGTAGGGTGGGGTGGGTAGGTAGGCAGGCACGCAGGCAGGTAGGTAGGCAGGCAGGTAGGTGGGCGGGTTGGTGGCAGGTGGGTCGGGCAGGTGGGTGGGGGTCGGGTGGAAGTAAGTAGGTGGGTAGGTAGGCAGGCAGGTAGGGAGGTAGGTAGGTAGGTAGGCAGGCAGGTAGGAAAGGAAGGAAGGAAGGAAGGAAGGAAGGAAGGAAGGTGGGCAGGTAGGGAGGTGGGCAGGTGGGTAGGTTGGTAGGTTGGTGGGTCGGTGGACACAAAGGGAGGTAGGTTGGTCGGTGTGAGTAGGCAGGCAGGCAGGCAGGCAGGCAGGCAGGCAGGCAGGCAGGCGGGTCGGTAGGTAGGAGGTAAGCAGGTAGGTGTAGGTAGTGTAAGCAAGCAGGTAGGTAGATAGGTCAGGCTGACCTGGCGAAAAGCCTCCCTGAGGCTCGTGATGGCAGCCTTTGCAGTTGAGAACGTATTCAGCGCCTGGCTCCGGGCAAGGACAGGACAGTGAGAACTTCACAGTTGTTTCACTCTTCGAAACTGTCTTTGCCATATCTCCTCTTAGCACGACGTGACAACGCGGCAGTGGACCACTTAACCGCAAACATGCTCAGGACCTAAACGCAACATCCCAGACCGAACGCTTAACATCCCCAGCAGGCCTCAACAGCATCTCCGTCGTTGCGGCAGCGGGATCGGAGATTCTCCTGGCGTTTCCACAGACTTCTTTGCGATCTCGACGGCTCGCAGAATCCGCGACAAAGAAATTCAAGTTGCCTGCAGCTTCCGCAATTCATTGAGCCGGCTGCCATATTCGGAGTGTCCTGCGTTTGAGGACGTAGCTGCACTGTTTGTCGTGAATGCTGAGGCTGTGCAAGGCACTACGATCGGCCCAAACAATGCGCAATGCCTGTGTCAATGTGAGACAGAGAGCCGGTCTCGTAAGCATCCAGGGACCTGCCAGGCCGCAACCCGCAGCAAGATGCAACTTGATGCAACAACCCGACAGCACACATTGCTCCGATGTCTGGCGACCCTAAAAAGCTAAGTGACAGCACTGGCTCAATGCACCTGCAGCAAGTCAAGTTCCGGCTCAAAGCGAGATGCCAGGACACCGTTTCATCGCCACTCCCACCGCGTGGCAGTCCGACTCCGGACACTTGCCGAGGTAGCTTCGGTGATTGCTTTGTCTTGACCCCTTCATGTTGCCAGCGTTCGCGCGCGAGCGCGCGCGCCTGCACCCGCCCACTTGCCTAGATTTCGGGAGGAGTGCACGGGCTCGACCTGGGAAATCCTGGGAACCTTGAGCCTCACGGAAAGCAGCACAAGCTCCCGAACCAACTGAAGCCGCGCTCTGGAAAACAAAGGAAGCTGAAGCCTGAAACCCAGAAGGGCGTTTCAGGAGCACAAGGAAGGTACGGACTATACTTCAACAAATCCGGGCTTTGCGTGCCTGCAAAATCATTCGCACTCTCGCCTCAAGCTTGCCAACTGAAGCCTGAAGGGCCTAAGGGCTTAAACTAATTGAAGGCGCCCCCCACAAGGGAAAGCCTTCAAGTTGCTAAGGGAGTGGCTCCAGTAGTTCGGCTTCTCGTTCATTCAGTTGAGCTCGGACCTCGCCGGACCCATTTTGCATTGAGAAGCTGAGAGTCAACGGTACGATGAAGACATCGACGAACGTGAAGGCAGCGAGGGTCAAAAGGCTGCTCAGTTTGACGATCAATATCTTGACAACAACGATGTCCACGAGTGCTCACCGCCATGACATCGAGACGAGGAGGAAGAGGGGGGAGACGACGACGGCGGCGACAATGCCGACATGAGGAGGAGGAGGCGGAGGGGGAGGAGGAGGCGGACGACGACCACGACGACCACGACGACCACGAAGGAAGAGCTTCATGTGCAGTGAAAAGGACGAAAAGGTGTTGCAGAAAATGCGGGCTTTGGCCACGTGCGGATTGACGCTGATAAGCAATTCAAGCAACATCAAGACATGTCGGCAAGACTCCACACAACTGAGGGCTCAGCTCGTGCAAAGGCGCTTCGCACGCTTGCGCGCCCGCGCGCTGCGGCGCGTTCAATGTCCTCGTCGGCTTCAGCACTGCTGTGGGGTCTTCAGGGGTGAGGCTTTGCTCCACAGAACGGAACCGCCAAGAAGTCACTGAACAAAGACTGTGCCAGGCCGCATGCTCGGCTGAGCTTTAAGCGAAACTCGGTACAGGCAGTGCTTTCCCTAAGCCCCACTTGCAGCTCTGAGCCTTTCTTCGCCAGGCCAGTCGGTCTCCGACCATGGAGAAATCATCCTCCAGCGGGGCAGATGGCAAGGTTCAGGGCGCGGGAAAAAAGGGAGGAAAAGCGCCTCGAGGGCGATTGCCTCATCAAGCAGCGCTCCGGCTCTGGACTTCAGAACCTGGCATGCAAGCCCGGACTCCCGGTCTCAAAACGTCTCAGAACTCGCTGTGACTCGCTGCGGGCTCTTGGAACCGCGCCTCGTGTGCCTTTGCCACACGCAAGACCTGCTGCAAGCTGCGACGCGAGCCCCCCGACGGACTGCAATGCATTGCAGGGCCTAGCTCCGCACCTCATGATCGCGGTGCCGGCCATTCTTTTGAATCACACATTCCTCCAGATCAGCTGCACCAATCACTAACAGGCACTACATGTAACGACGTAGAAGGGACATGAGTGCAGCCATGAGGCAGCGCAGATGCAAAGGCACTCGCAGGTTGCACCTGATGCCAAAGCAAACCAGACCTGCTGTTTTGAACTGGTCTGTCTGTGTCCATGCTCTGGGTGTCTCACAGCCTCGCTTAGGATCTGGCAGAAGTAAGTGGCTGGCTCTTCCGGATGCTCTGGGCACCTATAATCGATAAGCTAGCAGCGCATAGCAGAGCCACTGTGCCCCCTGACTTACCTGATTCGCGTGACACGGGCCTGTAGATATGGACTGTTCGTCCCGACGGGCGACTCGGCTCCACAGCCAGCGGTTCCCTGGGTGCCACTTAACCCACCGCTGAGGAGCTTGTTCGAAACTGGACACAGTTTGATGGCAAAAGCCCCGTCCGGCGTGTGAAGCGCATTTCTCTCTGTGTGTCCGCAAGACATTGATGACGATTCTAATGCGAGGCACCACTATGGCAAGTTTTTTCTGCCGATTATGAGGACCAGGCGGTGTTCTTTGCCACTGGACCGGGCTGACTGAGGTCGACGACACCTGCCAGATACCATGCCTCTCCGACCTGAAGTCTTCAGGAACACACGCCCTAAGCTGGTGTTGAATGTTCTCGAGTAATGAAAAGGATTGAAGTAAACAGCACCGCAAGAATGACGCCTGTCATGGCGTGACGATCGTGCCGATGTCGATTAAACTACAGCAATATCCAATCACCCGCGCGAGCCCCGTACAAAAGCACACTGGCCTGATGGGGCCGTGCGAGGGCCGCTTTTGTGATGCCCCGCTGTGCTGAGCCATCCTGTCCGCACTTCCAGGATATCAGCTTGGTGAATCCACAGAATTGCAAACTCGGCAGCTGTGCGCTAGGCGGGCTTTCTATGATCGAAGTTAATGAGCAATCACGCAGCACTCAGAACCCCAAGAACTGCTCAAAGGCAAGGAAGCTGACACCAACAGTCCTGGCTGTGAGGGCTCTCAGCCTCCCGCAACCCAGGCGCGGTTCCTCAAGCTGGGGTGGAACGCTGTTACCACCGCGGGTGTAAGGAAAGATCGAAACGTCGCTCCGATGATCCGACGTACCGTACGTGAAGACATTGGTTCGCTTCGGAAGCCGAAACGCTCGGCATCCCCATGGCCAACAAGGCGCAATCCCGAAGACCTCTTTGGAACACATGGGGCGTCGTTGGGAAAACGTCAGGCCCTGGCGTTCGTTCGGTATTCGAGGCGGGTACATAGCTGTGCCGCTGCGTGCACCTTCAGAAGTCAGTCAGTCGCACACGTCTTGCACCTGCACTCAGCACCGACGCCTGTGGCAACCGAAACAAAGGCACTGCAGGACTATGGGCTTCTACACTGTGTGGATCCTTCAACATGTGAACAAGATGGAACTGAACCCACAACTGAAGCCCTCGACGGGTGACCTGGCGGCTGAATCCACGAAGAGCAGATAGAGCAGGCCTCGCAAGCAGGCATATTGCAGGAAAACTTGCCGCAGGCGGAATGCAAGGGTCACGTGTCCACAGCTGCATGTCCGTCCCTGCCTGTGGCTGTGTTAGCAGCTGAGGTTGCAAGCCACCGTTCCTCGCACACGGCGTGGGAGGAACTTCTAGTGAGGCCTGAGCCTCCAAGCCGTTCGACCAAGCACCATACAAAGCTGAAGAGCCAGCACACCTCCCAACCGTCTTAACCCTCAACAGCAATCTGCCCAGTTGCTCGAGTTTCTGCTCCGTCAAGGCTGCAACCTTCAACGGACAGAAGCACACCAGACTCTGAAGACCAGTGGCGAAAGCATGGGCTGCACTTCTTTCTGAGCGACCAGCTGCTTCCTCGCACAGCTCTGTGATGCTAGGGCAGAGCAGGCATCGCACCTGGGGAGCAACAGTCGTCAAAAGCTAAAGCTTTCATGCGGTCTTCAGCCTGAGGTTCTCCGCGATAAAACTGGTTTGCCTGAAATACATGACTGATTTATATTGATTGACTGAGTGAGTGAATGAGTAATGAGTGATTGGCTGATTGATTGATTCATCGATTGATTGAGCGGCTGTGGGTGGAAACGCCCGTGGTCGTCGCGCTGGTCGTCGCGCGGCACACAACACGATAGTAGTGTTTACTGCTGTATACAGAGGTAGCAACATCTCCCCTTTGGTCACGCCAAGCCCACACCAGATCCGGTAAGGCCAGCTCCGTCCGGCCGCTCAGCGAGCGCGTCTGGCGCAAAGCACTGGCCGCACAGGTGAGGCACAGGTCGTGGCCTAAGCGCAGGAAGCGAGGGAAGCCGGCAGGGGCAACTCATCCGAATGGAGGGCTCCTTCTGAAATCGGTTTGCTCATCGAGGCCATCTCTAACAAGCCTCCGACCGCAGGACAGAACCAGGGCATCGACAAGGACGTTCCCGCACCTCACTTCAAGACAAGAACTACCAAAACTCGAGCTCTGAAGGACACAGAAACAGAGATCTTCGATTCGGAAGAAGTAGTAGCGGGCTTTCTGCGATGCCGGGAGCGGTGCTCCGCACATCGTGTTGGCCTGGAGCAGTTGGCAAAAGGTGACGAGGCCTTTCTTGGACGATCTGAGAACACCAACGCCTGAAGCCTCAAATCGCCTGAAATCCTAGCGCCACGCCATGTCGAGTTTGGAAGGCTTTTTCGGAGGACCAAGACTCCAGGTCGCTGGGATTCCGACGGCTCGCCACGCGGATAATTCACAGGCGGGGTGGCAGCAACCGCCATCGCATCCTGGCGAAGAGCGTGTCTCGGTCAACGTGCGAAGACGGAGTCAAGAATCAAAAACTATCCTCAGGCCCTTGAAGTCCCAGAAAAGCCACGGTGCTGTGTCTGAGTATCTAAGGATCCAGCATTCCAGCTGACACGTCCACAGCTGCGTCGATCTCTGAAAAATGTGCATCGCACTGAGGTGGTCCAGCTGCTGAGAAGAGAACTTGACTTGTGCGACTTCTTGAACTTGTTGCTAAACGGGAATGATCACTTACATCGATCATCGATCTGGGATGATCTGGGTTATTGCCATGTGGCCTCTTTCTTTGGCAGGAAGCCCGGCAGGCTTGAACCCACAACGCGTCAGCATAGTGGACTGGACCAGGACTTGGAAGGGATTCCTCCAGACTACATACACGAACAAAGCATACAAGTCACAAACTCTGTTTTTGTCTCTGCCCGTCTTGTCATGCCCGCCCGAACCTCCTGCTGATGCAGCATTTGCCGGAGAGCTGCTCTGACCTACAACGATATGCTGTGCTCTTCTGAGTGTCGTGTAAAGCCCAGCATGAAAGCGCGACAAGCGATGGGCAAGCGGCCTGAGCGAGCCCGTTTCGATGGTGGCACCTGCACACCCATCAAGTGGAAACAGAATGTGGCGGACACGGAGCGACCGGGAAGCCTCGACCGGACCCACAGCTCCCGAGCTCCGCTTCTCGCCCTGGGCCGGATGCCCCGTTATGCGCTTCTGCCATGGACTTGGCGGATGCCGCTCCTCCCACTCAAAGAAGGCCATGACGACTGTCAAATTGTCTTGACTTCCACGAGAATACGCCTGCGACATCGGGCACGGACATTGTACCTATGGAGGCTCTCAGAACCCAGAGGCTCTAGCTGCACTGCTCTGTGCAAAAAGGCCTTCTGCACCAAGTCACCACAGGCTTTCCGGGCATTGGCTGATGCGTCTGCCGCATCCCGCAAGAAGTCCAGTTCGAAGATGATCTGGAGCAGACAAGCAATTCATCTGGGGCCCAGTGGGAAGAATCCTGGTCGACTTTTGAACAGGTGAGCTTCAATTGGCTCAAGTTCGTCACGTAAACAGAACCGTGAAGACACCTCTTCGTTGCTGAGAACATCCGTGATTCCATCCTCGGCATACGTTAACGCCAATGAGCCTGTAGTATAGTGCGGCGTCATTCCTTGATTCCGAGCTCTTGCATCTGACCAAGAGCTCAGCACACATCAGCGCAATGAAGTGCACAGAGGCATCCAGCTCAAAGCTTCGGACCTAGGACTCGCGATTGCGACATGGAGGGAAGGAGTGCTAGGTCTTTTACATCCTCGTTCGTACATGCAATGCAATGGAGCTGTACTGCGCTGGCAAGCTCGGCCAAGGGCGCTGGGCGTCGCAATCAGCAAGGGCTTGTCCACCTACACGTGTCACATGATCCGGCTGCTCAGATCCACCGGCACAAGAACACCTCGAAGCATTCTCAGCTCCAATCTCCAGAAGCTGTGCCTTGAAGTCACGATCTCCCAAGGCCCGTGTCACTGCCAGGGCCACCGGGGGTCGACCCACGGCACCAAGCCCGGCAGCCTGCGACCATGATGCATCTCAGGGTATCCTTCCTGGTAATGGCGGGGCAACTCCCGCTAAAAACTCAGAAGCTGAATCACTCGTGCAATTTCGGCTCACGGCCACACTTGACCCTCAATCGCCGAAGGTTTTGGTGCATGTATGATCTATGCGCACCCAAGCCTGCCAAACTCAACCCATGCAAAGGTCGTCTGCAACATGACTTGGCAGCACGTGACATGCGCTGGGAAACTAGAGCCTGACATGCAGCGTATCCGCACTTGACAAGACTCTGCAACTGTTGCTGGTAGCAAGGTAGCTCCTAGAGCTCACGGCGAAAGCCCTCCGCTGCTTAAGCGCAACGCACAGCACTCGCACAGCAGCCTTCGTTTTCAGAGCCACTGCTTCGGCTCACCACGTAGCATCCATGGCTTCCTAAAGAAGCCACAAAACGGCTGAAGGGTCCCCTCGAGAGGAAGGCCGCAGATTTGGAGAAAACTGTGGTGCATGCGACATGTCGGAGTCTGCACAAGACATGTACACACATGTGACGGCAAGAATTCCTCTGGAATCTGCACGCCCAAAAGCCCACAGACGAAGACTTGACGCTGCACCGTCACTGCCGTTGCTTCAAGCGCTTAGCACTGGTGAAGTTGGGGTCGTAGGAAAGACGCCATCGCCCTGACTGAAGAAGCTGGTGAAGGGCTCCCGGCTTGGTAGGCTTCGTGAGAGAATCTGCCACCTGAGCATCGCTGTTGACCCAGCGAACAGTTGTGCCACCCTCTCGTACACGTTCACACAGAGACAGGAGCTCTAAAGCACTGTACTTTTCTTGAAGACCTCCGGCTGCGGAGTTGAGGTCCTCCTTGTGCAAAACGTCGTACAAGCTCTTCGCGTCCGTCACCAGGACACCCGGCACGCTGCGGATCTCTTCGCCCGGCTTCTGCAAGTTCACATCGTAGCCGAGCATCTCCTTCCACTGAAGCCGAACCAGCATGAGCTCTTCTTCGGCCTCCGAAGCTGCTTGGGTCTCGGCTGCGAGGCTTGAGCGCGCCACTCTTTTCAATCTGGCGCTGCGCCAACTGATCGGAGTGACAGAGGCGGTCTCTCCGGCATTCATGGCAGGAGTGGTCGCACAGATGATGTACCCTCCTGTGGACCCAAAGTCCGGACGATTGCCCACAGCAGCATCCGCCCAGGCCACAAAGCAGACGTCCTCTGGACTGACACCGTCCAGGTCCGTGACCTTCATGTGCAAGAAGCGCCCGTGAAAGGCCTCACGCACAAGCTTATTCGTCTGCTTCAGCGTGCGCACAGTAGCTTTGTTCACACATGACTGCAGCATGCTGAGTTGCACCATGAGCTGGGGGGCAGTGCTGTATGCGCGCCATTGCAAGGCTCCCAACGCAGCACGCAACTGTGCCACCTCCTCTTTCGTGGCGAGTTGCTCCTCATCACGCGCCTCAAACTTGATCTCATCAATCTGGGAACAATACTTCGACTGATCCATGATCACTTCGCGATGGCCCTCTTTGATCATCACGCCGCAGTGGTTGTAATCAACAACTTCCCAAGGGCTCCACCGGTAACTTTGGTGGAAGCGGCCAACGATGTTGATCCACTCGGCATCGGACTCATCGCCGGTAATCACAAAATCGTCCACGTGCGCGGCTATGAGCCCAACGAGCCGTGGCACGCCGCTGCTCCATTTCACGAAGCGCCATGCACAAGGTTCCGTTTTGAGTTGCGTCATGCCAAGACCCACCAACGTTTTATTCACATCTCTATACCATTCTGCAGGAGCGTTGACTAAGCCGTAACAGGCTTTCGCTATTTGAACGACTTCTCCATCCTGCAGCTGCATGGCCTTTGCCAATTCCGGCACAGGGCGTGCGAACACGCATCTCGAGATCTGCGTTGGCGCGGTCTGTAGGAACGCTGCACGCACATCAGCTTTCATTGTCTTCCAGTGTCGAAGCGTCGACTGCTGGTACACAAGTTGCCGCGTGCGTCGGCTCATGGTCGGACTGCTGCTGACGAGGGTGGCCAGGTCTGGGTCCTGGTATCCCACTATAACTATCCTTGCCTTTGCGGCACCAGAATCTTTATACGTGAGCACCCATCTCATCGCCATCAGTCTGTCCTGAGCAACATGTCCCTGGACACGACGTGCCGCTGATTCACGGATCCACTGATTGACCTCGGCCTGCTTGGCGATGTCAAAAGCGTCGCGGTCCTTCTGCTCCAAACGGCCGCACCGGACCTCCTGCTTGCGCAACCCTTTTGCCATCCATGCTGTCGGGTCCCGACGGAGACGTTTCCACTGATTCTCGGTCTCCGGAATCGGAAGCTCGATGGTGCACAGGAGGCCGTCGGTCGCTGGGGTCCAGGAAAGCCTCGCCCTCTGAAACAAAGCCAACTGGACCTTGGGACGAGCTCGCTCCATCCTCCTTCTTGTCTGCAGGTGTCGCTGGAACCACAGGTGACAACTGCCTTGGCCTAGCAGCTTGAGCCTTAGCCTTTTTGAACAGTGGTGTCGACTGCTTTGCCGCTTGCTGTGCTGCCTTCTCTGCCGCTTGCTGATCCATCAAGAAACGAAACAAGGTCGGATCATAGCTGGGATCACCAAGGTAACGGCTAGGGCTAGGGTCAACAGGAGGAAGAGTCGGGGGACCAGCAGGAGTGCGAGGAGCTGGATTTTGGCACTTCGTTCTCGCTTCTCACCGCCAGCCCTACCATCTACAGAGCTTTCAGGGGGACCACCAGGAGTGCGAGGAGTTGGATTTTGGGCACTTCGTCCGTGCTTCTCAGCGTCCTCATCCCTATCCCGATGCATGGTCTCCCGGCCTGGCGTTCTTGATCTTGCCCTTGACTTGACCTGCCACGAGGTACTTGAGGTACAGCTCCAATGTCCTCGGGGAAAACATAGTCGTCGAAAACATCATAGCCACCACCCTCCAACGTTTGCAACAAACTGCTAAAGGTCCACGGGGGCGTGGCTGCATCGGTCGCCTCGGCAATTGCAGCCTCCCGCTCCGACGCGTGTCTGAGCTGGTCTGGGCTGCACCTTTTCAAGCGACCATTTGCAATGATCCACACAGTCTGTGCCGGCTTGCGAATGGAACTCTGGTTGTCACTTCTGGTCTCAGTCGCCAGCACCCTGCCTGGTCCAAACCATCTGCCCAAACCGACCTTGGCAAAGCCGAGCCCAGGATGAGCAGGTGTATCAGCAGGAGGCTGCACACGACGATAATAAACCAGATCACCCGACACAAACTGCAGCTTGCGACGCGACTTCATGTTGAGCATCCGGCCGAGCTGGTAAGTCGCTTGGCTCCTGCGGGCAATGTCTTCCGCAGCTCTCCTAACTTCCATGTGGTCGTGGAAGGTGTGGCTCTGAAGCACAGAATTTTGCACGGCCGGCAGGTCTTGGTCACTCTCAAACAGACGCCCTCCTGGGCCAAAGCCTCGCCCAAAAGCCCATTGGGCTGGACTAAAACCTTGTACTCGATGAACCGTGTTGTGGGCCGCGGCGCTGTGAAGGAGAGCACGGTGAGCACCAACAGGGTGCCCCGCAAGCAAGGTGATGGCATCCTGCTTCAACTTCTTCACAAGAGACTCCACCTGGCCTATCTGGTGGTGGGCTTCAGCAGGACAGGGTGTCACCTCGATGCCCAAGTCGGAGGCCCAAGCTTCAAGCAGCTTGGAACGGAAGCAGCCCTCGGGATCACAGCGAATGCGATCAGGAAACCCATAGGCCTGGGTCCAGTTCTGCTCCAGAGCCAAGATCGCCTCCTCGGCCGTTGCGTTGCGCCCGTCCTGGAAGTTTCTCTCAAACAGCTTGGCCACAACTGCAAAGTGCGTGGCCTCGTCTGTGATCACCATGAAGTGGGTCACCACGTCATCGACCCTGACCTCGGCGTTGTCGATCTGGATCACCTTCCATGGCACCTCGCTCTGCTGAAGGGAGACACTCGGCGCGAGGTCGGGAAGGCGCATCTCCTGGCAGTCGGGGCACGTGTGCTCCATCGCTATCTTGATCACCTCGTGGCGCGCGCCGCGTGCCTTCAGCACCTTGGCCAGAGTCTTGCCAGAGGGGTGGCCCGCACGAACATGGAGACGGTGCACCAGAGCTTCGGCACGCTTGCGGTCGGCCGGCTCCAGCTTGGATTCTAGGAGGGGCTCGTCGCTCAACCCAAAGGCCTGTGCCTCTCTCGCTTTGCCGCCCCAATGGTCAGCCCACAAGGCAAACTCAGCAACTGCACGGCACAGCCTCGGAGGATACGTCGAAGACACCGACAGGGACCTTGACATAGATGCTGAGACCTTCTTCTCCGAGGTCTCGGCCTGGGCGTGGTCGATCATCTTCCGGAGCTCGGGGCTTGAGGTCACGATGCGCCACCGCTTGCCGACAGCCTTGTCCTGGAACACAGTCGGACACATCAGGCCGCACTTGGCCAGCTGCCGGAGAAAGCCCTTCATCTCCGGCTCCTTCCATGCCGCGCTGTCTGTCGGCCACTCCCAGGCCACATGTCCACCTCTGGCCAGCTGGTCCTCAGCCAGCTTCAGCGATGTCTTGAGAACTTTGCGTGCACGGCGTCGGCGGTGTAGTTGCGTGCGGCGCTGCTCCTCGTCCAAACCTGCCCGGTTGTTCTCAGGCCCTTCCAGAGCAGCACAAGGCACAGACACCCACATTAGCGCCGGAGCCAGGGAGCGGGCAGCCTCAAGAGCATGCTCCAAAACCAGACTTGCGCCCGAAGTCAAACTCATAGGGGCTCATCCGGGCAGCGTTGCCATGCCGATCTCCGACGGCTCCTCGAAGACCACTGGCTCCTGAGGAGCCCACCTCGACAAGGTGGATCCCAGATCGATGCTGAGGCAGCCCGGCAACATCGGCATCAAAGCTTGCGAGGATTTCCTTCATCGCCTCCCGGATCGTGCCCGCCTGGGTCTCTTCGAGCACGCCCTCTGCAGTCAGGAAGCCGTCCTCGCCGATGTTCAGGCCGCGGGGCCCGGAGGATTGACCTTGGTCCACACTTCTTCCTCCTTTGCTTGAGCCTGCTGGGCCTCGGCATCCTTGGCATTGGCTCGCTTGGCACTCTTCTTGGGATGCGCTGGGGGTCGTTCACGGCCTCCATGCCAGAGCTGTCCGAGTCGGAGGAATCCAGGGTCTGAGCCGGTGCAGGTTTCGACTTTGGCCGCCCTGCTCGAATCTTCTTGTCGAGGTTCTCGCCGTCCGTGTCCTTGGGGTAGCCGTCCCTTCGGGGCGTTCGATTTTCTGAGGGCCTTGGCCTTCTGGGAGCGCACTGCCTCGAGCCGACGTAGAAGAGAATCCTCGGCCCCCCTGCAGTGCCACCGCCTTCGCGTTCAAGGTCTCCTTGGCCTTCGGCTCGCCCGCTGCGACGCGCTCCTCCATGATCTCCACCGCCTTCTTGGTGTCTGCCGGAAGCGGCCCAGCCTGGCGGTAGTGAGCGTGCGCGCCATAGGCCGGAACATAGAGGAGACACCTCCCAGCGCCCATGGGCGTTGGCTCCCGACAAGCTGCCCCTGCCCGCCGCCATTGGCACATGGTTGCCGTGGCACGGCGGCCCGGCTGTCCTTGGGTCCCTCGGATCGGGACCGGTCGCCCGCGACATGTCGTACTCGGTCTTCACCTTCTCGCTCTTGCCCTTGCGGCGCCTGGCTGCTCGCACCCGGTGTCGCGGTCTGCTCGGTCGCCATGGTCACGAAGAGGAAGTTGTCGGGGAGAAGCACGGGACCACCAAGTCCCCATCAGTTCTCGAGAGGTCTTGTCGGCGGCGGCCATATCAAAGACTGCAACGATCATGCCCTTCAGGTTGTTCTGGAGATTCGGGTCCTCGAGGCTGTTGTGGTAGACTGCCGTGGTTGTTGCGAGGATGTAGGCCCCCAGGCTCACGTTCACAAGGCACGCCCTCCTTATATCCGGACAGGACCTGGCTCAGCACGGTGCCGGAGAAACTTTGGGAAGCACCGGGGGTGCGCATCCAATCGTGCACTAGGTCCAAAAGAAGATGACCCGAAGCACTCTCCTGAAGCCCTATGGTAACTCCAGGGTCCACGGCTTGAAAAACAACTGCGCTGAAAGTTGATCTCAGCCCCTAGCTTCCTCAAGGTGCGAATGCTCAGGAGGATCGGGATGCGGGGCACGTCCAGCGCGAAGACGCCAAGGGACACCGGCCGTCCCGCCAGTGTCTGTGGGACTTCGACATAGGAGGTCGCGGTCTCCTGCTGTGCATTCCCAAAGCGGAAGCTGCGCTTGGCCTCGGGGAACACACGCACATTCTCAAGGCCATAGCGGGAGCGCCTCATCGAAACCACCGCCTCGATGGCTTCCAAGCTGCCGACCGTCTCGGTCGCCCCGCTGTCTATCACAGCATAGCCAGGGTGAAGCTGCCCGGCCACAGACATAGCTGCCTCAACCGGCACACCGCCCATGATGACATCGTCGGTCGGGCTCCCGTCCATCACGCGCATAAAGCAGAGGGGCTCCTGGTTCTCGGGCTCCTCGACAGTGTCCTCGGGCTCACGGCTGGCCGGCTGCACGACAAAGGCCTGGTCGGGGTAGTCGTCGGCCTCGGTCGGGTCGTCGGTCTCGGTCGGGCCGTTGGCCTGGCCGTCGTTTCCAGTCTCAGGCACCGACTGCACCACGTAGGTGGGAGCCTCGGCCCACGAGCCATCCCCAATGAGATTGGCCGACCCGGCACCCTTTCCAGAGCCGCGCTTGGGGCATCGGCGGAAGTCGTGGTCCTTTGACCCGCAGATAAAGCAGCCCGTGTAACCAGCATTGCCTGGGCGCTGTGGCCCCTCGGCCGCCAGAGCCGCCGACGAAGAAGCCATTGACGTGGTCGGCGGGATGCCTTTCTTGCCCTTTTGCCCAAAGGAAGACTTGCCCTTGCGCTTCCCTTTTCCTTTGCCCTTGGCTCCACTCAAAGGATAGAAGCCTCGGGCGGTGTTCCGAGCAGCGACAGCTGCCTGGACTCCTTGAAGGTGCGGACCTTGTCCTGGTAGAGGGTAAGGGCCTCCTGCATCTCCTTGCCAGCGGCAGGGTCCAGCGCCATTGCTTCGTTCACGTCGAACCAAGGCTTAGCATCCGACCAGTTCCACCAAATGCCCTCGGGGTCCTCGGTCCACCAGTCGCCGTCGGCATAGGACCAATGCACCTCGGAGTCGCCATGCATGGTGCACCAGGTCTCAGGCTCTTCCTCAGCAGAGAAAACGGGATGCACCTCCTCAGGCAGGCGGTCGCCCACCCAATGGATACTCCCGGGCCCTTCGTCACCAGGTGGCTCGTCCAACAAGAGGCCCCACGAGCCCTCTTGCTCCACCCAGTAAGTTCGCTTGGGGCCGCGGCGTTCTTCTGCTTGAAGAAGATCCTCTTCTTGGTCTCGAAGCGCCTTCTCGATCAGGTCGATGTCCAACCGGTTGTTGGTTGCAGCCAGCACCGACAGCCGAGCCTGGGAGGGAAGGTGAGCCCTCCGCAACAGGATCCATCCAAGGACCTCCGGGGGAAGAGCATCGATCTCCTCCAGCTGGAACCTTTCCCACTCAGGTTGTGGACCATCATCCTCGTCACTTTCTTCGTGGCGCCAGTGGCCCCCAAAGCGGCGCCTGCTCGGAGAATCATAGCCATTCCACCAGGCTTCCCACTCAGCCGCTGTCCAGCCATCTGCGCCACGCTCGCTCCTTTCATTTGCCACCGGGGGGTGCTCGTCCTCTCGGTCTCCAGGGTGGACTTCATCATCGGCCGGTGGCTCCGGCTCTGCAGTAGTATCGCTGCGCCTGCGCTCAATAGGCAAGCCAGAGGTGCCAGCCGACGACTTAGGCGAGGAGTGGTCCGCCTTCTTGGGTGAGCTGTCCTTCTGCCGGCGGGGCGCGCCACGGGCACGAGCAAGGGCCCGCTAGAGCCGCCTGTAGCATTCTCGAAGTTCCGTGGTCCATTGAATCATCCTTGCACCAGGCTGTCTCCTCAAACGGACCAGGAAGTCCTCAAGTCGGGTGCCCAGGTCTGGAATCGGGCTGCGGCCGAGGCGCTGCTCAAGGTACTCTAAGAGGTAAGTGGCACCCTCCCGCTGCTGGAGACGAGCATGGTCTAGGTCTCCGCTCACGTCCCATGCCCGTCCTGTAAGACGGCTTGCCAGCTCTGCGCCGATGAGCCGGCGCTTCTTGGGAGCAGTTCGTTCCCAATGAAGACGCACCCTTCTCACATACGTGTTCCAGCCCGCTGCTTCACCATCCCACGTGGGAACTTGATCTCGGTCGCGACGGTCCATTCAGCCTTCGGGGAAAAACGGAGCTGAGCACTCGGATGCCCTGGATCGTTGTTCTGCTCCTTTCTCACACGAGCCTTGCCCCTTTCAGGGCAAGCTCCGCTACCAATGCTGGTAGCAAGGTAGCTCCTAGAGCTCACGGCGAAAGCCCTCTGCTGCTTAAGCGCAACGCACAGCACTCGCACAGCAGCCTTCGTTTTCAGAGCCACTGCTTCGGCTCACCACGTAGCATCCATGGCTTCCTCAAGAAGCCACAAAACGGCTGAAGGGTCCCCTCGAGAGGAAGGCCGCAGATTTGGAGAAAACTGTGGTGCATGCGACATGTCGGAGTCTGCACAAGACATGTACACACATGTGACGGCAAGAATTCCTCTGGAATCTGCAACTGTTGGAAGAGAGTCCCAAGCTGCCTGATGTTTGTACAGGTCGTTCAAGGTTGCTGCACACTGAACATGTCACAACAAGCCACCAGTGACAGTGGCCACCCCCGACGGAACCAAGAGCAAGGAACAGGTACGAAATCAACACAACTTGGTCACATCCCTCTGTGCATTGATTTCGAACCGATTGTGGGACCCAAAAAAACCTGGTGCTGCCTTCGCCCTTCGAAGCTCGCGAATCTGATTGTCAAACCCAGCGTGCGCCACCTAACGAAAAGGCTGGTCTTTGCACCGATGTAAAGCGTCTGCGAAGCTCATTCCGAGGACCAAGCTCGCTTGGCTCCGTCGAAGTTTCTGCGCAGAGCAGCATCCGTTCCCTTCCCCGGCTGCGCTCTAGGACGGGCGCACTAAAGCACGCCAAGGCGCACGATCATGCCGCCAGCTTCTCGTACCCGATCTGCCTCTGCTGAGGCCTGAGAGTGTGTGGAAGAAGCGACGCTGACTGGTGGAGGCATCTGCCAAGCTCTGGATGACATGATCTGAGGTGCAGACACTCGGTCGATGGTCCTGCGTGAGAGGGACCGTTGCAACGCCCCCAGCGGAAGTGCTTCTGCACAGAAGCGCGCGGGAATCGCCAAGCCATGCGACGGTCAGGAGACTTCCTGTCAGAAGCGCCATAACCACCGTGCACCCATCGACCGCAGTACCTCAGTGAAGTTTCCGGCTGACGACTTGAAACTCACCGGCCGAGCCCATTCAATACAAGTCTCGGTGCTTGGCCAGAAACTCTTCGTCCAACTCCTCCGGGTTACCGGGTTGAGACTTGCATGACCAAAAAAAGAGCTGCTTGGCTGCAACACGGTGCAGTGCATCAAGATCCTGGCACGTCGTCTTCAGTGCCAAACCAATCTCCTCGCTGCTCTTTGTGGTCGTCTGGGTCAGGTGCTTCAGGAGTCTCAGATGCAAGGACTTGGCGACGAACTCCGCACAGAGAGGGCCACGGTGCCCGTCATACACGGCCAGAAATGCGCAGGGCTGCTCCTCTGCACCGCAAACAAGCCCTCAATTACAACCCTCCCACAACTCCTGCAAGTGCCTTCACCGTTCTGTGTAACATGCAGAAAGGTTCCGGAAGTGCACATGACTGCATGTCTGCACCAACGTCTTCCCTGCTCCCGGGTCCAGGTGGTCGATCGGCATCTTCAGCGCCTTGGCAGCTTTCGTCAGGTCCGGGATCTTCACGTGCCGATCTTCCTGCTGCGGCCGCCTGCCCTGCCAAGTGTCTCTGAATGCTTACAAACGGCTTGACGCGCCGTGACCTGCCTGCATGAAGGTGGACTCTGACAGCACCTTCGCCAACTTGGGCCGACGTGCGTGGCTGGCACGCAGCGCATCGATCATGGCAAGACCTTCAAGACCTCCAACCTGATGGGGTCTTGAAATTCTGGAGTTGTTACACTCTTACCTTCCTGGCTCTGGCAGGCCGTGGAAGACCGGTCCAGGATGGCACCTCTGTGAGATCGCTCGAGCCAAGGGCTGGGCTACGGAAAGCCTTGAGCTGAGAAGGACGCTCTGTCAGACGGAAGGGGTTTGACGGCGATAACTTCATTTTGGACGAGGGGACGCCCGCTCTATCATGGCCATGCCGGCCGAAGAAGTGCTAGCCTCGCACATGGAAAAATCACAGGAATCACTCAGGCACGGGGGTCTTGGACCGCTCGCGCATGAACCCATGAGGCAAATTCAAGACCGGGTCTCTTGCTTGCTTGGGTCTGAGCTCCTGAGGTCGCTGGGAGTTGTGTCACCAAGAGATCCTGTTTTGAAAAATCAAGAAATACACCCACCCCTCAAACAGGAGTCGCTCCCAGCCCCAGGGCTGGGCCGCTGCAGGACGGACGGACACAATTCAAAAGGGCCTGTCCTCTGACAAGACTAGGGGGCTGGGAGCCGGAGCCTTGTCCGCTGAAAGCTCCGAAAGAAGAGTTCGATGGTTCATCCGATTTCGCTTTGTGAGAAGGTAGTCCATGTTGTGCTCGTTGGGCGTGGAGTTCATAGGACAGACTTCACCTCGGGGTGCAGGAAGGCGAAGGTCATCTGCGTACGGCGGCTCTGAATAATCCTGCTTTAAAGCCTCACCCACATCACATCAACATAATATATCTTCAGCTCGGCAGCATGCCAGGGGCTGTAGTGCTTCCACCTTCTCTGGATTGTTCGTGTAGAGCCGGATGGACCTGAGATGCTTGCACATGCTTCCGAGCATTCCAGAAAAAAGAGTCGACAGCCCCTCTGGAGGTTTCGCAGGCCGTGGACTTGGCTTCACATGTCTGCACTTTGCCTTGCCAGGAAACCGCACACCCAACCCCTCCAGCACCTTTCGCGAGCCCTCGAAGGTCCTTAGAGCGGCAGAAAGCCTGGTGCTGAGTGAAGGTAGGAGCCCTTTGAAGTCTCAGAGCCCCTGTGGCCCAGCTGCCGCAGGTCCGCAGCGAGACCAAGCGAAAGATTGGCGTCCACCTTACCAGCCGGTCGCTTCGAAGTCCGTCTGCACATGTCAAGTGAAAGCGCATGAAAGCGCTCTGGCTACTTTCCGTGCAGCGAAGATGCAGTGTCCAGCCCTTTCTCCTGGCCAGAGCACAGTGCTCACAACCCGGTGACCTCTTTGGGACTTGTGCTACACTGGTGTCACGCTTAAGGAATTGCCTGGAGCTCGTACGCTCGTATCTTGTCGACCAGGCCGATACCGCGGCCTTCATCCCCTGAATTGCAGAACTGCTTTGAAGTGCTTTCAAGGACCAGCGGATGCGTCACGCATGAGGTCGACAATGGTGGCACCGCTACAACTCTGCAGGGGGGAAGGGCGGCTTCAGGATCCTGCGAGAACGCTTGGTGAACTTCTGTTGAGGCTTCAGCACAGCACTGCGTTTGTAGCGGCAGGCTCCCTGGTGCCAGGCCTCTAATGTAAAGCAGCACCCCTCTCGTCTCATTATGAAGCGTGTGGAGGAAGCCTCGGCAGAGGCACAAAGGAAGCTGGAAAACACATACCGCGACTTATCGCTTGGCTCAAGAGAAACTCTGGTCGGGGTGTTCGGAGCGACCAGTCCAACGGCCACATGTCGGCAAAGAACACCTTCTGCCAAGTGACTGTGAAGCTGGGGTCCTCAGATGATCAGCTTTCGAAGGCGGAGCTTGCTCGATTCGTCATGGGGGGCTGTGTGGACACTTCAAAATGCTCGAACTTTCCGGGATCTCATAGATCCGAGTGGCCGCAGTCGCAGCGCTTCGAGCCCAGGACGTCGCCGGTGAAGCATTCGGAGTGCACCCGAACCTTTCAGGAGCGGCCAAGACGACGTCGACCGGAGGAGTTCGGCTTCTCCCAAGGCTCTGCCAAGCTGCCGGGACAGCTTCCGCTCCAGCCACTTGGCCCTTGATTAAGGCAACGATCTCTTGGCCCGGCTTGCTCGTGCTGTAGACCTCGCCAGCACAACTTGGACTCCGGGGCACAATCCTCTTAAAGCTTAGAAGAAGAGCCGGTAAGGTTGAGCAGACGAAGCATGACGCACAGCACACCGAAAATCACGGATGTCGATGGCAAAAGCAGCTCCAGGGGCCGCCTTCATTTCGCACTCATCCTCGATTGCCTGCAGCGACTGCGCGATACAAAAGTTGCGCTCATCAGGTCACACAGAGCCTCGATCCACATCCGACAGCTACTCCTCAAGCTTACGTGCTCGACATGCTCGACGTGCGCGGCTGGCTCGGCTGGCTCGGGCTGCTGGCTCCCAGCTTTTATCCTCGGAATTTCGGAATCGACATGAGTCGACAGAGACTAGGAGACGCTGAGATCTAAGTGCCCGGCCGGGTCGAAGGCTTGCCATCTCCCGCAGGGGCGCCGTACACGACGATATCTTCTCCCACCGTGCAGCTTCGCATATCGTGAAGGCTCAGAAGTGTGTCTCGAGAGTTCTGCAGGTTGGCAGAGGGACCCAGACCACCAAGGAATTTGGGGCTTAGCGTGGCCACGAAGCTGGTGACAAGCTGCGGGTTGGTCAGAAAGCTGGCAATGACAGCTCGACCGCCTTCGACCATCAGCGAGTCACAGCCGAACTGCTTGCGGAGAGCGTTCAGCGCGTGCTGCAAGGATGCATAGCCGTCCCTTTCTGGGACAGCCAGAAGGCGCACGCCAGGGATGGAGGCCAGCGCCTGATAACGCTCTTGCTTCTTCACACAACTGTCATTCTCTGTGGTCACGATCACGAGCCCTGCGCCATCCGCAGCTCTCTCTGCAGCTCTCTCTGCAGCCCCTGCTACGAGGCGGGAGGTCACTGGTGACCGTAGCCTCGAGTCTAAGACAACTGGCAAAGGGCTCTGACCTGGAACAAGTCGTGCAGTCAGCTGTGGATCGTCCGCAAGAAGGGTTCCCACTCCTATCAATATAGCATCATGCATCGTGCGGAATCGATGCGTCATGGCCATGCTCTGCTGACCACTGATTAGCACTCTCTCATTGCCAGCCGCAGCAATGGACCCATCTAGACTTTGAGCGTAGGTCAATGTCACCGCTGGCAGAGAATCCATGGACCGAAGGTTGCGTGCAACAAATTCCACCACTGCAGCGCTCTCATCGGCAGAGCCTCCGTTGGCGGCTTTCGAGTCCTATGTACCTATGTCATTTTGCAGCCGAGGCACCATTCACATGACGCCGGCAAAAGCTCCGCCGAGACCACACATGCTCGCCGTGGAGAGCTGCCTGCAGGTCAAGCTTTGGAGCCTCCACAGCCGCATCTAGGTACCGAATCTGAAAGCTCCCAGCTCAAACTAGGGTTGGAGGCATAGAGGCAGCGCAAGACTCTCGAGACTTTGGCCTGTTCACACCCCCTCGCCCAGAACTGAAGCGAAGCACAGAAGCTACAGTTGCTCTTGGAGTTCTGGCCTGGCATGTGTGCTGTCGGAGGGAAGCGCAGCGGGTGTATGCCTGAAGACTTCAGGACGGTCAGGAGGCCACCCAGTCTTTTTTTTATGCAGCTTCACAAGATATGCAAAGCCGTGCTATCTCGTGCAGGCGAGCTACTCCGAGGACCTGTGGCGGTGCCCAGCGCCACATGGCGCTTCTAAAGAGAATGCTTCAAGCGCTTGGCGAATGCTATTTTTTTGACGACTTTTGATGTCGGCTGTGTGCAGGTCTTGCATTATCTCTCTTGGCCGGTATCCTGAGCCCCACTTCCATCCAATCTACCCCATTCCGGCATTGTCAGACCCTGAAGTAGCAGGTTTTCAGTGGATCCAGGAGTGACGAGTCTTGGTCTGATCAATCAAAACTTAGCAGACATCAAGCCAACGGTTTAGGGTTTAGGGTGCACGGACAACATCATCATCTGGAACAGTCGCCCCGAAATCGGTTTTGGCTGCAGCATTTCGCAGCCACGGGCTATGTCAGGGAACTGGCTCGGCCCAACAGCTCAGCGACGTCCCAGCAAGGGAAGAGCACGACTCGGTTGCATAGCCATGTGGTGCTTGCACTGGCGAGCTCCTCACTGCACGAAGCTAACAGACATAGCAACACTGCAGGAATAAACTGGCGGCCTGCATGGTTCTGGAACATCGAAAGGTGGAAGGAGTGGCTCAAACGAATGCAGAGACAATGCAGAGGGAGGAGCTGCTGGTGCCACTCATCCAGTACGAACAGGAAAGATGTGTCACTGACATCACTGACCTTTCCGGAAGGCAAGTCCTGTTTTAGGCGAGGCTGTTCGCGTGCAGCAGAGTAGTATCTTGCCCGTGCAAGCACAGGGGGCCATAGACAATACTCAACAACGGCATATTGCTTTCAGGCCTTCCCTCAGTTGGTTGTGCGCGGTCATCCTCCCCCTTCCCCCATTCCTGGGCGCGCGCTCGCGCGTGTGTGTTTATGCGTGTATGTATGTATGTATGTATGTATATATATATATACATACATACATACATACATACATACATACATACATACATTCGTGCTTAAGATTGCATAATTACCTACATATACTCTGCTTGTTTTTGTTCTTTCATATGTAAGTATGCTCGATTGTGCAACTTCTCTCTCTTTGCTCACGGTTTCTCATATGCATTCATGTTGTCTTATTGTTGCTTACATATCTGCCCTGCATCCACGTATATTCGTTTATATTTGCTTAGCATGTACATCAATATGCATTTGCATACACTCAAACATACATACTCCGCCAAGCCATTCAGGGATGAACCCACATCTGCACCGTATGCGAGATTTCTGAATATCTCACCAGATACATTTGCAAAACCATGCGTGAGTGTGATCGCGACAGTCCTGCGATTTCGGCCGTGGACAATGAAGAAGTCCTGAAATACCAAAATCACTGTGCTTACCAAGCCTGGGAGTGCGAGCACGTGAACATAGCATCGCAGCAGGTTCATGTACCAAAGAGCCTACTACGTACTTGTCTATGTTTCCATTGTGCTGGTATACCGATTCCGGGCTCTTGCAAACCTGAAACCAACTGTCCTGGCCGTTCTCTGACCGGGCATAGTCAAGCTCGTGTCGGCCACAGCGCAGCACCTGACTTGCAAATCTAGGCCCTAACCCTTAGCTTTAACCCTCATAGACCTGTCAAGCCACATGTAGCTCGCATGAGCCAAGGCTGCTTTTTCTCGCAGCCAATTGAACCATTTGGGTTTTGGGTCCTACCGAACAGAGGCAAACTCCCGACGAGTGCTGTGCAGGATTGCAGCACAGGTCAGCTTTACATCTGCTTAAATAGGAGAGTTATCATTGTGACCTTTACAGACGGGTGAGCCATGAGTTGCTCAGGCCGAGCAGATCAGATCGATCGCTGGCATGGCTCACTCAGTGCGCCAACTATGGAGCTTCAAGCGATCATCGACCAAGGCTGCCGCCCAAAAGCCACATAAATCATGCTTCTAAGCAGCTGTGAAACTGAAGCCACGTTTCCACAACGGAGAAACACTTAATCGACTTCATATCAACCACCTACATTCGTCCTGCTCCTTTCGTGCACCGGCTTGGGCTCCAGTCGACACAAGTTGCTGCTGTCCGCTATGGTCATTGTTAGATCCCAACGGCTGCCAGAGCACCTGGGAAAATCCAGAACCAGCTTGGCACAAGGCTCATGGACGTCTCTGTGCGAATATTCAACACAGATACACGGTTTGAAATCAGCTGAACAGCCTCAAACTTGTACCAGCTGCAAGTGGCAGAGCGCTCTGCACCGCTGTTACCATATGCATCGCGGCATTCTCGGGGGCTCGCAAACGGAACCCCCTACCCCCCCCTTCCCAGCGAGAACGAGAAGCTGACGATCCCGACAGTGTCCGGGCATGCGAAATCTACAAGCAAGTCACTCGCCGTGCAATACATGAAGACTGCACTTTCATCCGGCCCCGGCACCCTCCTGAAAAGTCAATCTGTCCGCAAGGCAGACCAATCCTCGCGAGGTTAAGGTGGGTCGTGCTGAACTTTTCAAAGCTTTCAAGCCAATTTGTCTGTGCGCCGAAAGGGTGGTGCACCATTGGCATTGCAATGGCTTCCGTCTCCGGCCAAGAGTGTGGACTTAAGCGCTGGGTTATCGTTTGGCTGCCTTTGTAGCACCCCTTCGAAGTCCGAGAGCAGGCACGGCGTGGCACGGTTTGACAAAGGCAAAAGCAACCATCAACGATCAAAGTCTTGATAATTCTCCGCACCCAGTTCGTGTGCATCCGTGCATGCATGCGCACGGCATAGGAAAATCATTCGAAGGAGTGGAACCTGTGCAGCCCTAACAAGCCATGAAGACAGGAATCCGAGTCAAAACAACTGCATCAAGGGTCTTCCTCGTGGTGGCCTGCCCTTGCCGGACCAAAGCGGCACGAGGGAGCGTCCACCCCTGAGATCCAAAGCTTGACGTCTTCTGAACTCCGGAAAATGCTGGGACTACTCCCAATTTCGCTGTACCTGCAGGGTTGCATCTACATTCCGCTTCCTTTACAGTATGGGCACTGTTAGGCAGCTATCAACCGAAAGGAATGTAAAGGTTCATTCATTAATACTGTTTCTGGGTGCCCTCCGTAAACGTGCAAGACATCACTCCCTCTCAGGAGGAAGTTCCAAAGAGCATCGAAGCGTGGGATCAAGGATCCACTAGACAGCAAGCCTCGGGAGGTTTTGGGGGACCCTACGCTGTTTCGGCTGCTGGCTCACGGCTCGGGCCCTCTGGCTTCCACAGTCGCTAGAGGAATTAAGAAAGCCTTCGGCGATCGAACTGCGGGCAACCGTGTCACCAGCATCACTGCTGGAAGAAGAAGAGCCTCTGTAGAAGAAACTCTCAAACTCTCTCAGACAGCCGATCTACTCAACCTGTGAGTTCGATTTCACTGAGCTTCGCGCCCACCGGAAGAGATGGGCCCCTTGCATCACGTAAAGGGCCGAGAGCAGCAGCAAAGCACGTCCGAGCGAGGCTCGCCCAGAGCGAGGAGAAAGCTCCGAGCCGGTGGCTCTCAAGGCCTTCAAAAAAACAGAAGCAAAGATGCACAGCAAAATTTCAACGCCTCAGCGGATCCCGGTGCTGTATTCGGCAGCCACGCCTCCGATGCTTCCGACCTGATTACTGTGGCAAGCAGAATCCTAGCAAAACCCACACGGCTTGCAGCTACCAGTCGTTGCAATCTGCAAAATCTGCAAAAACAGCAACACAGAGACCTGCAGCCTAGCCGAACAGGTCACCTGCACGGCAGACAACTCAGGGAAGGACGAACGGAGCTTCGCGAAGTAGGTCCTGTTGCTTACAGAAGCTTCTTGCCCTTCACAACTGCAGGTACCGTACGCACACTTCTCTACACTTTGCCAAAAGCTCCTCAGCTTGCGATTGACCACCGCACCGAAGCAATATGGCACCTGAGCAGAACGGGATACCCAAGCATATGGAGCTCAGAATCTCCAAAGAACTCAGGAGGCTCCCCTCCGCCGCGCGACCAGCACGCGCGCACAGCGGATGCCCACGCGGAGTCCGAACTCCCGGAAGGCGGCTGCGACGCGCGCCGATGCACCCAATGCGCCGGGATGGGCGACGAAGGAGATGCCTGGCAGTTGTGTAAACAGCTGAACAATAAGCAACCATGGAAAACTCATCAAGTTACAGCACCGGCTTGGCATGCTCTTTCCTGAGCTCTATTTTCACTACTGTCTTCTCTGGCTACAGCTTGAATTCCAGCTTGGAACTATCAACCCCTACACAGCACTCCCACCTAGAAAGTGAAGCGGAGTAGTGAAGAGCTGCAGCGGAAGAGGCAGCAAAATCTGAACCACGTCCTGACTACAGCTGCCAAATCGGCTGCTTCGAATGTTCAGCAGAGCAATGGGAAGAGCTTTCGAAAGACTGGCTCCGGGCTATGGCCAGCCGATTCGTGCTAACAGTGGAGGCAGGAACAGGGAAACCACTTGTTTGGAGTTTTGATAGTTCTCGATCGCTGCACAAGTTGATGCCTAGCCGCCCTGTAAGACCTGAACCTTTGAAGATCTTCGATGCCTCTATATCGGTGCATGCACTGATAGATACTGATAGCATCACTGTGACTTCTCATGTTTCGTCGTCTCAATTCGAGGTGAAGCTTCAAGCCTGCATCTCACACCCCATGAACAAGATATACCTAGGTTGCACAAGTCTGTCCAGGTCCACCGCCTGACCGCCTGCACCCGGACTCTGTTATCGTCCTGAACCTGGAAACCACGGATCGTCGTGATGCCCTTCTTCCTAAGGTTGCCAGTGATCCTCAGTCAAGGCCGAGGGCTGCTTTGAGCTTCTGAACATTGCACTCAGCATTGTGAGCATGGAGGTCTGCAGTGTAAGCCGCATCATTAACAATCCTTTGCACGCCTTTTGTGACTGACGAGCAGCCTCTGCTGCAAACTAAGCATGGTTTCTTCTGACAGGAAGGAAGGCAGGCAGGGAGTGAGGAAGGAAGGAAGGAAGGAAGGAAGAAAGGATTTGAATTGCTCAAGCAACTTATCCTGCCCTGGCATCACTGAACCTGCAGCATTCCTGTGCCCAGGAGCTTGTCTGGTAGAACGAAGACAACGAGTGAGAAGATCAGGTCTCGTGCCACCCATGCCACTATGGCAGCCTGGTACAGGGCCGACGGTTCCGGACTTGGGACAGCTCACTGGCTCTGGATTCTTCCCATGCGGCTACTGGCAGGGCCGGAGACGTGAAACGGTCGCATGTGTTGAGGAGGCCAGAAGTTCAGGCACTAGGGCACTATGGTCATTCTGGTTCCCAGTCAATGTGCTCAGCCCAAGTTGCACTTGGGGGCACAAGGCTGCCACCGGTCAGGTATGCATCCTTAGCTGGCATGGTCAGCCGTCTGAAACCACGGCCTGGTGTCGGTTCAGGATGGGCATTCTTATGCCGGATCCAAAAACACAACGCTTGTCATCGTAGAGCTTCACCCCTGCCATTATTGCCTTGTTGGGGTTGCATGCGTCCAGCAGCCAACTCAACACCCAGAATGCTTACAGCTGCTTCTCATCGAAGGTTTGCACCAGCCATCTGCCTCGTACTTCGTGCAAAACCTGCATGCCCTCCACTCAAGTTCCTTTAACTGTCGGGCGTCCTTCAAGCACATGACGATGCAGTTCACCGTCGTGGTACAGAGCCACACCTTGGGTTCGGAGACTGCCAGTACGAGACAAGACTTTGGGTCTTGCTTGGCACAGTCGGTGTAAAATGCCATCGCCAGGTCGCCATAACATCTGGACGCCAGCCCGCCCAATCACAGAGCGTGCGTGTGGTGTTGGCCGTGCCGTATGTGCCGGAGAAAAGGAACCAAGTCCAAGCGACGGCTGGGAGCACAAGCTCTGGGCACCTAGGCTGGCCGTTCCGCGTGGCTTGGCCGTGTTCAGCTGTTCAGAAGCTGCATTCCTTGATCCAAGCTGCACAATGCAATCTTGGAACACAGAGCCGAGCATGATCAAGACGCCAGGCGACTCTGGTTTGCCTGCTCCTCATAGCAATCTCCCGTTTCAGCAGTAGGGACTGCTCATGGGTTTCTAAGCGCCGGTCGCAGCATAGCAAGATCAATCGGCGCGAGGATAATCGCGAGTCCAAAACCTGCAATATGCACATGGACGCATCTAGTAGAATCTGGCAACATCGGCTCGACTGTGGCTGCCGTCCACGCTTGGATCTTTCAATTTTGGGGGGACGTTCCTATGAGCTCCAGGAGCTGTTCCTACAACTATTGCCGAGAGAGTGGCGCTAGGGCGCCCTCAACAGCTTCCGCACTGACCGTGCACGCAAAGTCTCCGAAGGCTCTTTCGCGTGCTCCGGGCACTAGAATTGAGGCAAGACAAGACCCGCCCCAGCCTACGATGAGTGCAGCGGAGACATCAGCGAGCAGATGCTGCAGAAGCTTGGCTTGCCCTGAGAAGGGCAGAGAGAGTGAGAGAGAGAGATTGAACTTATTCTGCTTCAGAAGACTCAGCACTATGCCACAATATTTCAAGATACTTACAGACTTAGAGACGTCCTTTCCTCGAACAAGCAGCTGTTTCAAAACCGCGGATGGCCACGGCTTAACACCCGACAAAGCAACGGGAAACAGAGAAGGGTAAAGAACCTCCAAATCAGACCGATTGCTTTAGGCAATATACCAAGGCTTGCCCCAGGCAATGAAAAACAACAAAGCCCCCCCCCCCCCCCCG